CATCTAGCAAACATAGTTAATGCTCTTACCTTGGATTTTGAGAACAGGGTTAATTCTCTCTAATATTAAAGATATTAACATAAATTCAAAATCTGAGATAATATTTGTGGGTATGCTGTTTTCTTAAGTGAAAGAAACTAGTTTATAAACTACATATCATTAAATATTATCCACTAAAGATTTACAATTTAAATAGGTAGTCCCATAACAACAAGCTGGTAATGCTGCTTGGGTTATAAATTTAAAAAAATTTGTTTTCATATTATAGAAAATTTAAATTCAGTTATTAATCACAGAAAATTAGATATTGATAGTATAAATTATGATATTTTGGTTTGATTAGTCTGATATACTCTAAAAGAAAATAGTATGGATAAATAATGAACATCTAATGGATTATGTTTTACATAATTACCTGTAACTCCAGTCTTTTTGTAAAATAATTCGAACCACTCTTCTGGTACAAACAAATACCTAGTTTTAGCTGGTTCTTCTAACCTCACCATTCTGGGAAAATTCACCAGATCACGTTCAGGTCCGTCAAACGGATTTGGTTGAGGTCGGCCATTTGGTTTGGGGAATCCCGGTACAATGATTGATTCATTAGTGTGAGCGACTTCTGGTTTTGTTTGTGTGGAGCGCACGACACTAGCACATACTGGTGCTACTCGGAATAGTTCTGAAAAAACAACATGTCAAACAAAAACATTTGAATATGTAATTATTAGAATATTTACCTGAACGTAGAGCTAATCTGGACAACATGGTTGGTTGTTAATATTTTGTCTGTGCCTTGACTTTAATAATCGACAAATCAATCCCGATCTCGCAAAAACGATGATGGACGATGAAAAAAWTGATGGTGTGCTGGTGATTGGTGAATTGATGGAATGATATTAGAAATTTTGGTAAGGTCAATAAAGATACGACGGAAAAACAGCTGTTTAAAATTTAAAACCAGCTAAATGAATACAACAAGATTGATAAGAATTCATGACGATAGATATTAGATTTATTATTTTTTATCAATTATTGACAAACGTAATGAAGTAATTAGAAATTAACTTTTGGGGACCGGTCCAATGTGTGATCTACCGATAAACGGCTATCTGCGAAAAAGCGTTGTAGGTACAACGTGTGATCTGTGATCTATATTTTAACGAAAATATAATTGAGTTCGCTTACAACGTAGTGATTACGGCCCACGACCACATGAAGATATTTACGAAACTTCAAATGATGAAAATAAAACTCCGGTAGAAAATAACCAAAGAAATTATGGAAATAGAATACAGGAACCGTGGATATTTGGTTTATGTTGTAACACAGAAGTTGTAATAAAGACAGCAAAACTAAACGTCGATTTTTCATTTTAAAAAAATTTACTAATGAATTGTTCGATATGTCCCTAATATTTTCATTCCCGTTTCTTTCTAATCTGATGTCGGTGAATTAGACCGTAATATAAATATATTTATATATATATGGAATTATAAATTTTATAGACCACTGCCCACTGAGGCTGAGGTTATACTTGTGACAATTGTTGCCAATAAGAGGACTATTGTTTATAAACGAAAACGGACAAATAGTTATAATTKCTGTCGGTTAGTGACTCCCCCGTCTCCACTCGAATATCTATAWTAAAAATCAATAAAAATCTATAATATCTATTCTGTGTGAATATCACAAAATTACGTTCTACAACTTACTACTGGTAGTAGTTGATGTCATGATAAAATAGTGGATCTATTTCCTTAAGGTTGGTACCACAAATTTATTTGGCCTGGTAATACCACAGAATATATGAAATGGATATAAAT